CCCCAAACTGATTGCCGCAATTGTTTCTCCACCTCAAATTCGGATGATCTCGCTACCCCAGATTATAAGTGTTTGAGAATGGGTCATAGTTGCGTCCGGCACCGGCACCATTATTCTCCCCAACTGCATTGGCATGGACCTCCGTCGTGTTCACTGTCCATGGACAGTCCTTGGTAGTGTGATCCACCGTCTCGCATAGGCCACATGGTCGGACCCTCGATGCTTGACCCACAGCCAACTGGCGAACCACGGAAGTTAACTCCTTGATTTGTTCTTGTAACGAGTCGGTCCCTTCTTCTTGAGCCGGCCTCTGCAAGATACCACGAGTACCAAACTGTTAAGAATTGGCTGTCATGTTGGCAATTAACTCTTGTGCCGCCGTAGGAGTTTTGTCCATAATTGCACCGCCACTAGCTGCATCTAGCATATTCCTCTCCATGAGTAAGAGGCTCTCATAAAAGTATTGGATCAATAGCTGGTCGGCCATCTGGTGATGTGGACAACTCGCGACTAGCCTCTTGAACTTTTCCCAGTACTCGTACAATGTCTCCCCTTGCATCTGTCGCACCCCACAAATATCCTTACGTAGAGCGGCGACTCGCATCGCCGGAAAGTACCTCTGGAGATAGATCTTCTCCAATTCTGCTGATGTAGTGATCGATCCCGAGGGCAAATAATAGAGCTAGTCCTTTGCAACATCCTTGAGAGAAAATGGGAAAGCACGTAGCTTGACTTGCTTCTCGGTCACCCCGGTGGGTTTTATGCTGGAGCACACCATGTGAAACTCCTTCAGATGTTTGTGTGGGTCCTCACCGGCGAGACCATGGAATGATGGCAACAAATGGGTCAGCCCGGACTTCAACTCGAATGTGGTATCATTCATCTCCAGGAAAGTTATGCAAAGAGGTTGCTGTGGAAGTACGACATTAGCAAGTTGTCTCTCATTTCGCGGCCTCTGGTAGTTATCTCCATGTTTTTGTAATGATGATTTCTAATTTTTTTGGTGCATTGTTTTTAACAGGCCAATAAATGTGTGAGGTCTAGGTGGACTTCAAGAATAATGGTAAATGAATATGAACCCAAAAAACAACAGCCTATGATGCCGCCATTTGCAGCCGCTCGGCCAGTTTATGACACCAACAACTTAAAAGGCTTCACTTTCGGTTTAAGCTGACGAAACACGTCTCCAAAAATGAACAGCCTTCATCCCGTATCAAACTATAGCTTTCCAGATGATTTGGATCTCAACTCACTATCATCGACAGTCTGTTCGGTAAGCCAATCTTCAGATGAGGAGCTAAAAATGAAGGATGGATTTTTGGCTTTGAGGAGTATGAAGATGATGAAATGTTATCGAGATCAACTCCGACAACAGAGGCGGTAGTACATATGAATCCAACGGTTTAGATGAGGCGATTGCATGGGCCAAAGAGAAATATCAGACACAATGCGAGATGAAAAATTCGGCACAAGGTTCGATTTGTCGCCTCTTGTGATAAGATTTATGAAAATTTTAATATTGATTATTAAAAATAAACAGATATTATGTTTTTTTCACCTTGTGACTTGCGTCATGAAATTATGCAGAAACCTTTAAATGGTCATGAGGAGTCTGATCTGATCAGGAGCATGTGGAGTTTATAAAAGTATGCATTTGATTGATATGTTATTATCTAATGTCAACATTGTTAGTTGGCCAAAAGAAAAAGGAAAAAACAAATAATAGAAAATTAGGGATACCAATTTCGTGAAATTACATAATCCTGAAATTCTTCGTTTTCGTCTTGGTTCAGGACTTAATAATATGAAGCTTTGGAAATAGTTATGTGTTATTAGGAGCATGAAAGCAGGCAAAGCGTTCTGAGGTAGCTAATGATGTCTTATATTGGAGATTTGCTAAGTGTTTGATGAATTGTCTGAGCTAATGCCTGATGATCTCCAGCTTGTTTGTTGATCACATTTTTTTTTTCTTTTTTAATATTGCTCTTGTTTTTGTGTAGCCTCCTCAATTCAGAATGAAGTTGTGCGAGACGATCTTGTTGACAATATACCGTTAAATTCAGAGATTTTGAGTGCTAATGTGATGGATCCAATATCTGTAAATTCTCTATATGACATTGTGCCTTCAAGTTGGTAAATATTTTGAAGAATGACTCTCGGCTGCCATTTCTTAAGAAATTAGAGCTAAGGCTTATATTATGATTTTTGGCTGCAATCTTTTGAGCATTGCTTGCTGAATTTTCTTTTCCCAATTATTTTTGTTACAATAATAAGTGCATGACTTACTTTACACATACAATTACTCAAATTGTATGCTTAATTATGAATTAAATTGAACCCAACTATGCGGGTTACTAAGTGCTCAAATTTTACGCATAATTACATATTAAATAGAGTATTTGATAATGTTGTGGGACTCCTATATTTATGGTGGATTTATACAAAGTAATTTCAATCTACTTTCAGAAATACTTACAAATGTATGTGTACTCTTTGAGTAGTGCAAATATATATGTAAGGTTGGACACATTTTAAGCAGTAATTGTTTTTGTGCCAACAAAAAAACAATCACTATTTCATAATTATAGATTGAACTCGAGCCGGCTGTGCAGGGACAACTAGTATATATATATATATATATATATATGTGTGTGTGTGTGTGTGTGGTTATTATTATTATTTTTATTATAATAGTCTGTATAGCTCGAAATCTGCTAGGGTAAGGGTAAGGTCTCTTTATTGGTAGTTCATATAAATTAGGGCTGCTCATTTGGTCAAAATTGAACCGAACCGAAAATTCGGTTTGTCCATTATCATGTTTCGGTTTTCGGTTAATCACAATAAATAACTAATCTTCTCAATAAATTTTGATTTTTTAACCGAACCAAAAATTTGATGTTTTATCTAAACGAAAAAAATTAATTTTTTATCACCTTGTTTAATCTTTTCAATAAATTTTAGATTCTCATCAAAGGAAGATCTCGAACCCGAACCGTGACATGGACTACGACGAAACCAATTTTGAGTACAAATTAATACTTGAGCCATTTTAGGAGTTATTGAAGCTTGAAAATCATCAATATTGAAGCAAATTAATGCTTTTATAACTTATATGTATAAATAAAAAACATGTATATATATGTGTATAAATCGGTTTGGGTTCGGTTAACCGATTACAATTATCCAAACCGAATTGAAAACCGAAATTTTAAGAAAATGTAAACATAAAACCGAACCAAATATTTTAGTTTCGGTTTCTGTCCAAACCGAATTTTCGGTTTCGATCAGTTCGGCTTGGTTAACTGAACTCTGTGCACCCCTAGTTTAAATTCAGACTTTTAGGCCTGAATCATTTAATCCGAAACCCACTAAGGTTAGCCCATTTAGCATCATGTAACCCAATCTAGAAGATCCAAACACACCACAAAGAAAAAGTCCATGTTGAGAAAATGAAAATGTAGCCGTGTCAAGATGTAGCCGTGAATGGCAGGTCTGATTGAGCTAAGTGTATCCTCTATGCCTAGCTTTGTTTGTGATCAGTGGATCACCGTATGTACTTGGACTATGTTCTTTTTTTAGAGTGCAATGTTATCTATCGTTGAA